AACAATTCCGTCATTCAAGCACGAGAGAGAGAGAGAGAGAGAGAGAGAGAGAGAGAGAGACAGACAGACAGACAGTCAGACAGACCGACAGACAGACAGAAAAGGAGCAGACACGATGAAAATGTCTGTCAAGCACCCACATGAAAATAACATTGATTTCATTAAGGAGAACAAGTTTATTTTTCTACATATCCTCACATTATCCCTCACATTATCCCTCACAATATTATCTTTTCACTTTGACGCAGAAACGGTACAAAGGACACTGTAAGTTACTTAAACCATACCAAGTCAATTTTTGGTCCAAAAAGGGGAAAGAATCCAGCGCAACTGTGACAAAATACGGGGAATAGGTTTAACTTGATTACTTCCCTTGAATAAGTGTGGTTCGTTGGGTGCGTGAATGTGTAATTAAAAAAACAACAACCCAAAACAGACAGACGGAGAGACATACAGACTGATAAACAGACAGATAGACAAATTGACAGATATACACAGAGTCAAATGTAGATAGTTGGATAAGGTGTTGTTTTCATTCTAATACGGATTTGTTTTAGTGGGTGCAGTTGTTGGTTTTTTGTTTGCTTAAAGATTAGTACGTTTGGTATTACTATAGTTGATCCTGCTGTTGTTTTCATTGATGGTGGTGGCAGTGTTGTTGTTGTTGTTGTTGGTGGTGGTGGTGGTGGTGGTGGTGGTGGAGGTGGTGGTGCTTGTGGTGCTTATGGTGCTGATAGTGGAAATGTTGCTGCTGCTAATATTGGTGTCCTTATATTGTGTAGTGTTGTTATGTCTTAGTTTAAGTAAGTTTTACGGTCATATAAGTGATGAAGATTGGAAGCGTTATTAGAGAGCAACAAACACAAAAAGAAGGAGGAGAAATCAGGACGATAGATGTTTTTAGTTTTAGTAAGAGTTTTACTGCACTTGCAACACAACAAGGTCATATAAGTGCCGATGATTAGAGGTGTTACAAGGGAGTAACCAACATAAAAAAGAAAGAGGGGAGATAAGGACGATAGATGTTTGATTGGAAAGAAGGAGCAAACCACACCAGAACAACTGCCAACCCCCCACTTGGTTTTTCTGTTGCTACTCACCATCAGAGTCCACGCTCTCGGGCGGGAGTTCCGAGGTCGGTGGGAGTTCGGAGGAGGGCGAGAGGACGTGGTTGACCTTCCTCTTGACCACACTCTGGGAGATGACGGACCGCCGCTCCTTCTCCAGTCCCTGCATGCTGGCCTGGCTCAGGTCATCTTCCACCTGGTACAGAGAGTTAGGTTTCCAGTTTGAAACAAAAAAACAAACAAAACAAAAACAAAACCAAAATGGGCGAAACTGTATTGGTTTAATCAACGCACCTTAAAAGACTGTAAGATTATTTAAGAGACAAGACACCAAAATTTAACCTCCAATCTCCTTGGGTTTTACGGGACTTTCAACTCAATAAGGTTATAAAAGTGCCCAAGATTAGAGGTGTTGCAAGAAAGTAACAAACACCAAGAAAGTAAAAGGGGAAATAAGGACGATAGATGATTGAGGGAGCAAACCACAACAGAGCACCCGCTAACCATCCGTGGTGGAGAGGTTTAAATTTTGCGTTCGAAACAAAAATGAGCGAAATTGTATTTTGTTTAATTAACGCTCCTTATACACTGTCTTAAATAGAAATGAAACTTCTGTGACAAACATCTTGTGAGTTTGTTTTCTGTCGCCAGCATGATACAACAACCATCAGAGTATTTAAAAATGCTTGAAAATATACGGTCGAAAAGACGAAAAGAATGCAAGAGCTTCAAAATGTGCACCGTTCGTCTCTCCTTTGACTGTAATCGAACATTTGAGGTGAATGCCTTTATTCTATCAATAGCCAAACTCAAACTCAAAAGGTAGTGTCGATAGTCTAGTGGTTTGACTACCGGACTCGGCTGTTTGGGTTCATTGGCTGAAGCTCACTTGATCCGATGTTGTATTATTGAAAAAGGTATTTTATCCGAATTTTTCACATTCATTTTGCACGGCCCTGCCGGAATGGATGTTAAATTCTGATGTATCCTCGTTTCTAAATAACCCGTTTTTCCAAAAGTTCACTTTAATAAAACTGTTATCTTAAATTTGATCTTAAATTCCTCTTTTCAAACAGCCAAGATTGAATAAAATGTTGTACATATAATGTAAACTTAAAAAACAGAATTGTGATGTGCTGTGAAATTAATTTTCTTAATTACAATGGGTATGGAAAAATATTTTTCTACTTTTTTTCCTACTTCCAATAATGTTGTGTGAAAAAAACATCCCTGGTTTCCTCACCTCTTTCTCCCGTTTCATGACCATCACGTGTTTGGGCTGCACCATTTCTGCAAAGTGTTTCGCTTTGTCCACGATCTCTCGGCTCTTCTCAGATATATTTCTGTCTTCCACGGTAGTCCAGTTCACAGTTCCAGCAGTCGCCACTGGAGAACCGACACTGCCCGCTGACGGCTCGGGGGCGGTTTGCTTTGTCTTCGATTGGTTGAAAGACGTTGGTCTTTTGGCACCTGAAGAGACGTCCGAAAGGTTCGAAGAGGAGTTTTGAGAGACGGAAGACAACTGTTTGGGAGCCTCCTCGTTTTCGTTTCCTTCGTTCAACCCTTTTGGTCGGGAGGATAACTTTGATGATGAGGAAGACGAGATAGAAAAGGTGTCTTCAAACGCAGACTCGGTGCTGTCGGTGGAAAGTTGGCCCTTCTTCTGAGATGACAATAAAGGAGGGTTGATTTTGTTGTTGCTGCTGTTGTTATTTTTGTTGTTGTTGTTGTTCAGTCTTTCGACACTGCTGTTGCCGTTGGTGTTGCTACTGTTGTTGCTGATGTTACTTCCGTTGGCGAAAGCGTCCCTAGCTGTGTGTGAGACAAGCAGTATGCCGTCGTTGTCGCCGTTATCATCTGGGGTGCTAGCGATGCTGGAAGTGAGAACACCACTGTCACCTGAAATGAGAATAAAAATCAGTGTGTGAGTATTAGGGGGGGGGTTGTTTTGAAAAGAAAAATGGTGGAATAGTATAGGTTTAACGCCCCTATCAACACTATTTGGTTATTTAAGAGGCGGATCTCCGAGTGTGTTTGTGCGTATGTGTATATGTGTTTTTCGTCTTTTTTAAAAGGCGAATACATATACTTTCGTCTGTCTGCTGGTACGTTGTATCCCCTAATGTCCGGATTGGCCTTGTCAGATGGGATTGAAGCTTAAACTAACAATGTGTGATTATATTTTGAACTAGCTGGGTACCCTGTTTGAGGAACTGACTTAATCGTCAAGTCATTTTAGGTTTCAGTGCGCACAGCATGTGAACGGAAGTCTTGATGTCTTGAACCAAGAACACTGAATTGAAATGACGAACGGGTAAATCGTAAACGTCCGATAGTGTTTTCTATTTTAATTTTTTTTTAATTTAGGCAAACGCAAGCACTTACTGAATTGATAGAAACTTAGCTTGGTCTTTGAACTGCCTTCAGTGATTTTTTCATGGTTCTATGATGTTCCGTAGTCGTTGTTGTTGTTTTTTTCAGCTATAGAAAACTACCATCCACATGTTCGCAATTATATTATATATATATATAGAGAGAGAGAGAGATCAAAGTACATTTCAGCCCCTCTTTCGGGGTCTCAATTCTCAGTGGGGGCAACATGCGGTGGATGCTCTTAACTATGTTGAAAACGGCGAGGGACAAATTTACTTTGACATATTATTGCGTTTCCATATTCGCCCTTCTCTGTATATTTCACTCGCATCTTAAGTACTTAAGAACAGTCGCTTAAGAAAATTAAACAACAACACGTCCATGGGAATAATGATATTATGCAGAAATCAATGCAATGACCATGTGTTACATACCATGATTGAATAAGCTTATGAAACAGAAAAAGATTGTGACATAAATAAGAGAAAGTCAGTTTTTCCACAGTAAATTATAAAGTTACATGATTTTTTTTCTTATTGAGATAATGTGGAAGAAAGAGAGTTTTTATACACAGTATTCAGATATGACTTAAATAAACACTGGAAGTCAATATCAAGAAAATTTAAAATTCAAAAATTCTGTATATACTGCGTTTCACGAGATGAAGGCGGCTGTGTGAACGCAGCAATTTCCTTTTTAAAAAAATGCATTTCTTTTCTTTCTACATTTCTAATTGACTTCATTTTGTGGATGCAAATAAATCACAAATAAATTTCAATCACCTGGTAATTTAACGATCAAAATAAATAAACTAGAGCTGATACCCTAAGTTCATGCTTAGAGCACGAGTGATTTTTTTTATTTCTCTGTGATACGCCTTTTTCAACATACCATTAGACATTCAGGATCTTCGACAAAACATTCGTCTACTATAAAGTCAAAAGGAGAGTCTTGACAGTTATCCAACCATCTTAGCAGATGATTCAAAGCTGTACCCCCCCCCCCCAATTTCAGGGTCAAGTACCAAACCAAATAGAGCAAAAAGCAGCGCACGTGCAACTCAGCTAACTTATAACACACAGAGAGATAACATACACAGCCAACTTATTGTTATCTGTGACTAATGTCTTTCATCCTGTTTTGGCGGGAATCATTTTGATAAAATTGAATTTCAGTGGCAAAAAACCAGGAGTTGGTATAGAATTAAACGAACATCTATGGAACACTGGCATTAAAACCATAATACTTTTTGGCCAAAAGGAAGATTTGTCTACAGGTTTTACAGCTGTGTCAAGAACTTTCAAAACCCGGTAATTCAACTCAGTACAAGATAACGCTCAGCTCGAGACATGGGGACAAGGTATACACAGACAGCGAGATTACAAACACACACACACACACACATA